CCCCTCACACCTCAGGGCCCCTCACACCTCAGGGCCTCTCACACCTCAGGACCCTCTCACACCTCAGGACCCCCTCACACCTCAGGACCCTCTCACACCTCAGGGCCCCTCACACCTCAGGGCCCCTCACACCTCAGGGCCCCTCAGTACCTGTAAGATACTTTAAAGGTTTGAGCTGGCAGTGTGCTCAGTGATGTCATAGTGATGTCACAGCTGTCTATCAGTGTCGTCCAGCTGGTGGGTGTGGCCTTATCAGCTGCAGTTAACAGGAAATTTTTCTGTGTGTGTGTGTGTGTGTGTGTGTGTTGTCTTTATTTTAAACTAAATGTTCTTTCATGTTTTTCTCCGACAGCTTTAGTTTCTTTACTGATTCAGATTATTGATCCAAAACATAACCAATAATCAGGTTATAAAGTCACTGAACTGATGCACATGGATCAATAATATCAGATTACTCTGCACAGTGAGTACTGTTACTGCAGTAAAGTATCAGAGTACTCAGGTGTTCCTCTGATCCTCAGTCTGTATCATGTGATGTCATCAGTTTACAGGTGAGATTCACCTGCAGCTGCTTAGGTCTTCATTCTCCTCCTCCCCCAGCTGGAATCTTCCAGGGACTTTCAGAATAAAATCCCCTCAGCTGAAGTTAAACTGGTTTGTTTCTGTCTGGTGAACTTCCTGTTTGGTTCCAGTAAACATCAGCTGATCGGACTTTTACTCTGTGAAACAGAAACTTTTTCTTCTTCAGCTGTTGGAACGTTCACTCTGGTTCCACCTCTGCTCTTATTTTGGAAGTTCAGTCCAACATTTATATACGTCATAACAACACTGAATAAATGAAATAAAACAGAAGTTCATCAAACTGAGACAAGTACTTCAGATCTGTACTGGAGTAAATGTACTCAATCAATCAATCAATCAATCAATCTTATTTATAAAGCCCAATATCACAAATCACAGTTTGCCTCACAGGGCTTTACAGCATACGACATCCCTCTGTCCTTATGACCCTCACAGCTGATCAGGAAAAACTCCCCAAAAAAACCCTTTAACGGGGAAAAAACGGTAGAAACCTCAGGAAGAGCAACTGAGGAGGGATCCCTCTTCCAGGACGGACAGACGTGCAATAGATGTCGTACAGAACAGATCAGCATAATAAATTAACAGTAATCCGTATGACACAATGAGACAGAGAGAGAGAGAGAGAGAGAGAGAGAGAGAGATGCAGGTAATGACAGTAGCTTACAACAACATTATTGAAAGTAATAATATTATAGTTATAGTTCTGGCTACTGTGGTACAATAT